TTTTTTTTTTTTGAGACGTATGTTGTGCTGCTTCACTGTTTGATGTATTTTTTCTAGGAATTTACGGTGAGCCTTTTCTCAGAAGTGTGTTTCCTGAGTCCGTATCTTTGTTAAAACATCTTATGTTCTGCCTAATGTTCTATGAATTTTGGCAATTTTCTTTAACAATAGGATTGTGGAACAACAAAGATGGATGTTGGCATTTCACTCATTTTGTGCAGTTTTTACTTTAAAAAATAAACATTTTTTACCGGAATAATATGTTTTAACATATTTTCCTTAAAAAAATATTTTAATTGGCCTAGCTAGTTTGGCTCAGTGAATAGAGCTTCAGCCTTCGGACTGAAAGGTCCAGGGTGAGATTCTAGTCAAGGGCAGGTGCACAGGTTGCGGGCTCAATCCCCAGTGTGGGCCCTGCAAGAGGCAGCCAATCAATAATTCTCTCTCGCCGAAACCGGTTTGGCTCAATTTAAAAATATTTTAATTTATTTTACTAAATTAATAAATACATTTAACTTATTTAAATGTATTTATTTAAAATAGTATTATTGAGAGAAACAATGATAGCCAGGTGAGTTGGCTCAGTTGAGCTATAAACCAGATCACAGTTCCATTGCCACTCGGGGCACATGCGTGGGCCCCTACTAGATCCCCAGGTGGGGCGTGCAGGAGGCAGCATATCACTGATTCTCTCTCATCATTGATGTTTCTATCTTTCTGTCCCTTTCCCTTCCTCTGTGAAATCAATAAAATATTAAAGAAAATTGAGTCCCTTATCTTAAAAAAGAAAAGAAACATCAATGATAAGAGGGAATCATTGATCGCTGCTTCCTCCACACCCTACTGGGGATGGAGCCTGCAATCCGGGCATGTGCTCTGACTGGGAATCTAACCAAGGACCTCTTTGTGCACGGGTGGAAGCTCAAGCACTGATCCATACCAGCTGGGTGATTCATTACTTTTTAAATGCTATGCCCTGTGCAATGAACATTTTTAATTTTAACCTGCACTAAAACATTCTCCATTGCTTTCAGAACACCAGTCATCTGACCCTGCACTAAGCCCTTGCTTTGTCATCTTCGGCATTTTCCTTGTTTCCTATCATGGGGTTTCTTGGGTTGGAACTGTTCTCTCAGGAAGGCCTGAGGGCATCTGGGTGGGCAGGGGGCTTTAGAGTCCCAAAGCCAAGGCAGTGGGAAATCGATGGGTAATGATCAGATTCCCTATGCCCTGGATCAGGCATCCTCCATTGAAGTTCAGATTCTCTGTTATCACTGGGACTTACAGTGAAATAACCGCTTCCGCCCTTACTGGTTTGGCTCAGTGGATAGAGCATTGGTCTGCGGACTGAAGCATCCCGGGTTCGATTCCCATCAAGGGCATGTACCTTGGTTGCGGCACATCCCCAGTGAGGGGTGTGCAGGAGGCAGCTGATCGATGTTTCTCAATGATGTTTTTAACTCTCTATCCCTCTCTCTTCCTCACTGTAAAAAAAAAACAATAAAATATATATTTTTTAAAAAATTATTGACACTGTTGGAGATGGTCCCCATTTCCCTCCCTTTGCCCCTTTCCACAGCCGCC